AAACAACAACTTTGAAAGACAGCAGAGTCTTTGAGATGAAGATGAAACGCAGCTCGTCAGCCTCAGCTCTGACTGAGGGACGACGGTGAGTCACACTGTACAGTGGAGCTGCTCTGAGATGAAGATGAAACACGTGAGTCACACTGTACAGTGGAGCTGCTGCAGACTGAAACCTTCAGAGCAAAACACTGTCATTTATTCGACCTTTGTATTCAATTTATGGTCGAATGTAATTCCACAGTGAGTTCCTGCTCAAGTGTATTTCATGTCAGATATAAGATGACGACATATAAGAGAGTTAAAGATGGAGTTTTAATCATAAACTCAAGGTCGATGTTGAATGACTCTTCGGTAAAGTCTCCACTCTGACCAGTGAGAACTGCAGGTCAACTCAGTTAGCAGCTCACTCCTCTTCTTTCCTGATCCATCTACTGTTCCACTAAAGCATGATGTTCTCCATCACCACCTCAGTCAGTCGTTCTTCTCCACCTGGCTGCTGCGTCTCCAACATTTATCCTCCACTAATCTGTTCTTCATAACTAGTTTCATTTTGTCACTCAAAAAAACAAAACAAATTTCACCATCTTCAACCCATAACTTCAACAGGTCTTACTGTCTTTGGAAACCACTAAACCAGTGGTTTCCAAAGTAGGGGACGGGTTCTCCTCCCTGTGACATGGAGAACTCACAGGAGGACATTTCTGTTTTCTATATTTGTCCAAAAGCAAATGCCCTGCTCCGGTATGTTTCAACATACATGTATGGTCAAACACTATCATTCATTCCTATTAGAATGACTTAAATTAATGTGAATTGAGAACTTATCAATGGGTTTGAACATTATATAAATATTAAAAAACACATTTGATTTTAAATCTGTGAAACCTAATTGAGTTTGGTGTGAAGATTTAGAGAGCGCTAAAGCAGCAGGTAAAATAATAAAAAAATTAAAATCAGGTCTGGAAAGAGAGTCAGCAGTTTAGAAAAATGCCTTTATATTCAATTAATACTGAGGAGTGAAGATAATGTGGCTTTCATTTACTGTAGTCTCCGACTCCTCACACTCAACACAGCAATAAAAATGATGTTATGATCGCACGCAAATTCTACTTCTATCAAACCAGTCACATATAAATCAAAAGTCGCCTTTATCTCAGAAGGCTGGAATTCAAGTGAGAAATTATCCATTTTATGATGTCTTTCATGTTATTTTAATATTTAGTTCTGCTCCCGGGGCTCAGTTAAATCCTATTTCTGCATGGTCTTTCACTTTGAAGTTTTTTTTTCACTTAAAAGCACCATTGTGGCACTGACTCTGTTGAGCTGTAAAGACACTTTTTATAACAGTTTATGATGAAGGTTTGAATCAGAAATGCATGCTTCAACGCTGATAACAGACCCGGCAGAAAATCACTGTAACATTAAACTGTCATAATACGACCGTTCCCAGGACACGAGTGAGCGGAGCGTGAATTTAAAAATGTCGAGAATCGTCATTATGCAGTGCATGGGCGTAATGCATGGAAACTACCAGCAGCCTACAGTGTTTTACACAGAGGCTGTTAACAGTTGTCCCCCAGGTTCGGGTGGAGATCTGCAAAGAGACGCGCTCGTCTTTCATGTCTCTGACAGTGAGCGAGACGCCAAACACTTCTGAAGTCTCTCACTGCTGATTGCTGGGATTTTTCCACATTTCTCTGCCCTCTGCTG